TTATAAATGGTTACCATTACTTCACCCTGCACCAGCTGAACGACTAAACCGCCTCAGGAATTAGTAATGGGTTGTCCAGTCTCGTAGTAGGCTAACAATAAACACAATCAGACATTCTGCTTATAGAGTACGTTCGCTTTTAATACTTGAAGTACATTTTGAGGACAAAAGTGAGTGACGGCGAAATACATTAGTTTTTACGTTGCGCTAAAAACCTAAACAAGCTGGAACTCCTTGACTGTTTTGTTGTTCAGTTTATAATGACACTTATGTCATTTTTCAAAAGCTCATCTCAAGTTGGTAGTTTTAGATGTGTGGAATCAAAAAGGTCGTGGAAGTGATCGCAAAAGTACAACAAGTGCCTAAATGTTAAAGTAGTAACTGACAAAGAGATAAGTGATCTGAAATTTTCAATATTGCGCTGATGCAAAACAGCGTTTGATAGAAAACTAAAGAAATATAGTAACACGTTATCTCAACCTACTGTTATTATGACTTATATAACGTTCTAAAGATAATGAACTCCTATCAAGTTTGTTTTTATAGCCAAAAAATGTGATCTCAGCTTACAGTAAACAGAGTATTTATTATGATTTAAAATATCAATTTTCTGCCATTCTGCTGCCCGCAGTGTCAATAGAGATGCCCAGACCTTCCTTTCCAGCTCTTCTTTGTGGACTGTATGTAAACTCCATGTAAACATATTATCTTTCTCTTATCTTTGTTACCAGTATAGATAAAGTCTTACGGGAATCTCTGTGTCACCTAAAGAGAAAAACAACATCAAAACATCCAACTTGGTGGTGAGTTGTTTTTTGTTTTTTGCCAAATGACTAATATATATGTTTAGGGTTTTTTTTTTTTGCCTACTTTCTCCATAAACAATTGTCAGACAACACAGAGAGCGGTTGAACAACATAATAATGCAGAAAGATGTAAACAAGTGGAAAAAAGAGTTTAGAATATATATTTAAAGAATGTGTAATTGTGAAAAAGTGCTACTAAACAAACAATGTTAAAGGAAAAATGTGTCTCATCAGATATTTAGCTGTGGGTTTAGTTATTTTTGAAAGGTTTGGATATTCCATTTGTGTGCTTGCTGTAAATATGCTCTCAGATATGAACCTACCAAGAGGACTAAATACACACTTCCATATATTCAGGACTAGGGCTTGCGACCTGTACATTCATCACAAAATCTTATAGTGACCCTAATGCTCGCCCTGTCATACATGTTCCCATTGTGGGAATTCATATTAAACAATTCTCAAATAATTGAGCAAAAAGTGCAGTCTTCAGGCTGTCCTGAAGTCTGTGGTTTTCTGTATTATTCTCAGTCTGAGTGGGCGTCCTTAATATGATTATCATTGTCTGTAAATACAGCAGTCATGCTCACTTGCTATTCAAACCTTTTGTATGCAAAGGGCAGCTAATCAGAAGAAAATCAGCTTAAAGAGAGGGTGACCTTGAAGACAGAGGTGAAAAAGCCAGTTTAAGACAAAGGTTGAACCTCGGAGTGCAGTATGAAATATGTAAAGGAATAAGATAAAATAAATAAGGATTATTTTAATCTGTGAATCATGCAGACCTACTCTAGTCAGATCCAAAACTGTAAATGGCAAGCTGAAAATGAATGTAATGGGTAAACTTCAAGCTTTTGCATCTCTTGCATGTGTGAGAATTCTGTGATTTAGGTTTTTTCCATTTAGAAAAAGAAGAAAGAAGCAGAAAGGATCAAAAACAATGAATGGAAGAAAGTCAGATACAAAGAACAAGGACTGTACCATCTAGTGATTATAATACAAATATATACCGTGTTGGAAATATTTACTTATCTATATACTATAGATATATATCTTCAGATGTTTAGTTTATATCCAGTAGGCATAGTTAATGCATACAGTGGACACAGTTTAACAATAAGCCCATCCGGCTTTAACTGTCTGTGCAGCAGTCCCAAGTTTAGTCTTCATTCTATTAGATGACTCTGGACCCTGATGACTTTTTGTTGCTGAAAGCTCTGTTTAGTTCAATGAACAACTCAGACTTGAAAGGGCAGATAAAAGAAGGGAAACTACACAAGATGTTTTCTGTGTTTAGTATATCAGGCTGTGGTCATCCACGGCCCAGCCCAAAGCCTAACCGAGAGTTCTGGCTCCACCTCTCAGTAAATTCTCCAGATGGTTTGATCTATATTCTACATCCCACATTTGCTCTGCTAATGCCAGTATACCTGTACACATAACTACTGGAAATACCTCAGGTCTGCCACACGCTCAGCTACACTTTTCCTAGTAAGAAAGAAAACTAATAAGCTTCTTTCAGAGAAAGTTATGCATCATTCTTCAGAGAATCTTTTCAGGGTAAACAATCAACCTCTGGGGACTTCTTCTCATGTTTTGGTAGCAACTATTTACAGGGCTCCAAAATTATGTTCAAAGTATTTTTTTTAAAACTATTTAAAGATATGGGGATTTTAAAGATTTTAACTTACTTTCTTAGTCATACTTATGTTATTAGATTAAGTGTAACCATCAAAGATATGGCAGTTCTTTGATGTCCCCTGATCTTCACATATTCAGAAGAGATAAGTGTCTACAAATAACAGTATTCTTCTTAAGGAGGCTATTTAAAGGATAATGAGAATCTGTAGTTAATTTGCTGAATAATATCTTTAATGCTAAACATAATAGATATACACTCAGTGGCCACAATATTAGTTACACCCAAATCACCTGCTCATTAATACAAATATCAAAATTAGCCAATCACACAAAAGCAACTCAGTGACATGGACATGGTCAAGACTGTCTGAAGTTAATACTGAGCATAAGAATGGGGAAGGTAAGTGACTTAAATGACGTTGACTATGGCACAGTCGCTGGTGCCATACTGACTGATCTGAGTATTTCAGAAACTGCTGATGCACTGGGATTTTCCCACACAACCATCTCTAGGGTTTACAGAGAATGGTCCAAAAAAAGAACATGTCCAGTGAGTGGTAGTGAACATGTCTTGTTCATGCCAGAGGTCAGTGGCGAAAGTAAATCAAATCACAACAGTTTTCAACTGAGCTACAGAAGAGCATCTCTGAACACACATGTCGAATCTTAAAGCAGATGGGCTGCAACAGCAGAAGACCACACAGGGTGCCACTCACACAGCTAAGAACAGGAAACTGAGGCTACAGGTTACACAGGCTCACCGAACATGGACAACAGAAAACTGTAAAAACATTGCCTGTGATTTCTGCTGCAACATTTTGATGGCGGGGTCACCACCATCCTGCTTTGTATCAGTCGTTCTGGTGGGTGGTGTTGGTGTAATGATGCTGAGGTTGTTTTCTTGGCACACTTTCAGACCTTTAGTATCAATAGACACTGTTTAAACACCACAGCATAACCTGAGTATTTTTGCTTACCTTAATGACTGCTGTACCCATCTTCTGATGGCTGCTTGGAGCAGGAAAATACACTATGTCATAAAGCATAAATGATCTCAAACTAGTTTATTGATCATGAGAATGAGTTCACTTTTCTCAAATGGTCATTATGGATTTGCAGCTAACAAAATCTGCAGCAACTGTGTGGCGTTATCATGTCAATATGGACCAAAATCTCTCAGGAATGTTTCTAGCTTGTTGAATCAGTGTCATGAATAATTAGAGCACTTCTGAAGGCAAAAGGAGGTCCAACCTGATACTAGCAAAGTGTACCTAATGAAGTGGCTAGTGGATCGCTTTACTAAAATAGTAACCAACAAACCCAAAGTATTTTAAGACTCAAATGTTGAACTATGTTGTTTTATTATGTTATATGTTGCTTCACATCAAGAAGGTTCTGAGTCTGCTGGCATGTTCCTCCCATACTCTGGTTACTCTGGTTTCCTCAGTCCAAAATCTAGAAATTACTTGGTTTAGGTTAATTGGTGATCCCAAATTGCCCATTGGGATCATTTGGATAATTGCCCATTCAAATCAACCATGAATTGGATAAGCAAAAGAGAATGGATGGATGTTAATTAGAATAGAAGGAAAAAGTGGAAGTACAAATTTCAGACCAATAATAAATATCAATGAAGAAATGTAATGCTAAATTAAATAAAACAGGGAAGTGTTTTTTTTTCTCCTTCTAACATTATAGATGTGGTATAAGAAGTAATCTGTGCTTTTCACAATCCTCTATAAGGTAACTAACCTCACCCACAGGTTATACATTCACTGCTTTTGTGGCAGCAAGAAAGCAGTCGTAGCCATGTGTGCATCAATGTGCACCTTTATTTTTCTGTGGTCTTTTAACTGTTTTACTTCAATTTAAGTGTTTAGTCCTGCTATTTCTCCTTTATGTTTTCTGCTTATTTATTGATCTTTGGTCTAACAGATGAGCCTGCAGCTCCCTCTGCTGTTGTACAGCTAGAATATAGCAGGTGGCAGTGCAATATTGCTGACCTGAACCGAAACCGAAGTCAAACCGCACTGAACAAAATACAAGGTTTATTTTGGCAAACACTGGATAAAATGCTTAAACAAAGAATTTTACAAAAGTCAAAATCTGAATTGCTGGAAGAAGGGTTTCAGTGAAATGTATTTATTACAGTTTAGTTATTCAAATGAATCCTGAAATATCATTTTACGATTATATACATATTAAATAAAATATAACTTTTCTTTTCTTTTTTCTTTTCTGGATTTTAGGAGTAGCCAAGAGTTATGTTGTAAGCATCAGCAGTGGTGACATTTAACAACCCACAGTTTCTGTCAGTGTGAACGCTGACAGCAACAACATTTGAAAAAAACAGAAACCCAAAACCACATTCAGCAGCTACAACAGCTAACAGCAGCAATGGACTGTAGTAAATAAATAAAACTGATTCCCACATTCTTCCTTTCAACATTGGATATATTGTGGGGTTTTTTGGAAACAATGTTGTACTCCATTAAATACAGATTCACTCTGTCAGAGCTCAGCTGTTATTATATAATCTGTAGTGGAGACAAGCTTGCAGACGGTGCTTCAGCCCACCAAAGGAAGTTAGAAAGTTTGACGTCAGAGGAGAAAACGAATAGGAAGTCACACCATGTTTTGGATAGCAGAAGGCAGATCAGCAAACCAGAGAAGGTACGGTTTTTTTGGACTCCCATTTATTTCTCTTCATCATCATTTTTAATTTTAAAGATTTAATCTGTCAGAATCTTTTTATTCGGTTAGATTATTCGAGGAAAGGTTGGATTTATAAAGTTGTGAACAGGAAATGTTTGCATATGAAATGCAGTTGCTTGAGCTAAATCTTTTTGTTTATTGTTTTTTTTTAAATAATTGTAATGATTTAGACATATGTTAACATTTTCTGCATTTTTTATTTACTAATTTTATCTCTATCGCTTTGTAACTACCCACACAGTCCATCATGTCTCGTTGTGATGTAGAGTATACAAAAGAGGTCAAGCCTACAGTTCTGAGACATTTCAGATGTTCTGTCCTAAATACAAAAATTAAAATGTATCTAAATTCGAAGAATAGAGACTGTAACATGAACTTTATTCTCCACATCTTTGGAACATGTAATATAGGACAATGTTTGGTCTCTTCTTGTCTTTCAGATAGAACATAACTGAGCCGACCTTCATGGCGATGGCAAATAACAAATTCCTCACCGTTGTCCTATTTGGTCTTTTTTTCAGTAAGGATGATTTAAAAGTATTTCTCTTTTCTTTTTGTACACACACTCAAAATGAAGGTGGTCTCACACAGGAAAGTAAAACCACAAGCTGCTGTGCACAACGGAAACTTAACTGACTTGTTAGAGGAGCCTAAAGTAAGTTTCAACTAACATATCCCTCTTTGTTCCCTTTCTTTCTCTAAGGCCTTGCTCCAGCACTTGCTGGTAAGTATCAAAAAAGATGATGTGTCAACTTCCTAAATGCATTTTAAAAAATGAATCTTAATGTTGAGAAAAAATAAAAAATAAAAGTAAATGCAGAACTAGGCAACCAGTCGTGATGACTCAGTTTTTCTCTACATCTCTTGGGTTTTTTTCTTTCTTCCCACTCCATTTCTGTCTAACTGTCTGTTTCTCACTTTTTGTATTTACCAGACAGCACAGTGTCTTGCTACAGGATTGAGCCAGGAACAATAGCAGGCATCATCTGTGCAGATGTGGTGCTGACCCTTATTATTGTCGTTGTAACATACCGATGTGCCAGTTTTCGGCGTCAAAAGATAGATAATGGTAAGATGACGGTGAAGGGCTCGTCGGTCCCTGGGAGCCCTTTTATTTTATCACATTGGATTTCTTTTTTTCTTTCATATTCACCTATAAGACTGTTTCTCAACTATATTTTTACTATATTCATCAAACTGACTTCTTCTGTTATGTGTGATTTTAGCATCAAGTGTATATACTTTCAACTAATAGCTTTTCTCCATTGTGCTGTCTCTTGTCTGATTTCTTCACAGCTCACAAAGTGTATATGAATGTCCGGGCCAACTGCAAGAGCTAAAAGGATGGTGCAGTGCATGAAAACACTTTCAACTTTCTTGTAGAAAACTGTTTACCTTTTTTAAAGAAATCTCCTCTGAAGATTAATTATACAAAAAAGTATTTAACTATTACATTTTAAGTTGAACACATTGTTTTACACATTTTATATCTTACTTCTTAGACTTCAACCTGTTAATTCATACTGCAAAAAATAAATAAAAGAGTCTCATAAATGGGATTTCATACTCATACAATGTGGACTGTGATTTTAAATATGTTACAAAGTTATATAAGATGTGTTTCAGTTTATTTAGTAGAGACTTTGAAAAAGGCAGTCCAGTTTTATCTTTATAGTACCATTTCACAGCAACAGTTGCCTCAAGGTACTGTTTATTGTAAAATAAGGACCCTACAATAGTACTGCATTTTAATAATATTAATTGTGTGTGATAATAATAATTGCATATGGTTAACATTCAAATACACTGTTAAAAACTATCAAGGAAACATTTGAGCAATCTTAACTTTAATTTTTGCTCTGATTTTGTATAATCAGCCCTCAAAGCATTGTTACAGCATTTTGATTACAAAAAATAATATACAAGGATTCCAACTTGAGTATTTTATTCACGGACATCAGATGTGTGGTTTAAATCTTCCTTTAATATTTTTCAGCAGTGTTATTTAATGTTAATTTAATGCAAACTATCGAAATAGTTTAATGGGACATGGAGATGTTGTGCAAATGTTCATATTATATTTACAAACTGTAAAATGTATAAAAAGTTATGCTAAAAAAATGTCCACTTTAGCACATTAATAAAAGAAAGCTAAAACATTCTTGTGTCTGGTAAGTTTTTCTTTTTTAAAGATGGAGGAATATTTCATCTTCAGACATGTTCACAGAACACATTTATATGGTTTTTAGCCAGTTAACTTAGTCTTGTTTTTCTACATTGTTTAGCTTCACAGATTGTTCGGTTGCTCATTACTTTCTGTTTGTTTCTCGCTTTCATCTACTTGGTCATTCTGTAGCTGACATTTAAGACCTGATTAGATTTCAGACATGTAGGACATGATTAGATTTGGAGCGTGGTTCCGCTGTGTGGTTAACATGGCTCCACTTTGTCCTTTCAGGCAAACACAGAATGAAAAATGCTAACCAAAGTGATTTCATATCTCTTTACTTATGTGTCTGATCTCAAGTACACAGTGTGCTTGATTGATGTACAGTGTCTCCTTTCAACCGTCTCTTATTACCTTGTGAGTCATTTACTTTCACAGTTTTGTGGATGATGTCAACTTTTAAAGCTAAACTTCCGGTGATATGTAGCAAATATGCCTTGCTGCCTGTTTCTTTGTTAATTAACAGAAAATGTTACACAACGCAACATTTCCCTGTTAATCTGTGTTTGTGTAAAAAAGTGTATTTGAAATTATTTTTATATTTTATATTTTATTTATTTTGTTTTATATTTTAAAAACAGTCTTCCAAGTAATTAATTTCTAAGTAATTGAATAAAGGTCAAGAGTGTCACCTAATAAGACATCAGTTCAGGTTTATGCTCTGAGCCACCTGATCATCGCTATGTCTCCACTTCATTGGGCTCACATGTCACCTGTCACCCCCATTTATCAGACATTACTTTTGGTGGGGAACTCTACAAAGTGATGTTAAAGGCTATAAAGTTGCCTGTTCCACCAGTGCACAAAACAAAAGCAGCACTCAATGACCATCAGGTTTACTTCAACCACTAACCACCCCCATAGACCTTGGTCACATATAACTTTAGAAGAAGATAGTGTACTTTATTGGTCCCCGTGGGGAAAATCCCTCTCTGCATTTAACCCATTCACTCAGTGAAGCAGTAGGCAGCCATTGGGCGCCCGGGGAGCAGCGTGTAGGGACGGTACCTTGCTCAGGGGTACCTCAGGGTAGCTGTTCAGGGGAATCGAACCCCCGACCTTCCGATCATGGGGCCACCACTCTACCTACTGAGCTATCCCTGCCCACTTTGCTACCAGCGAGCCCATTTCCTCCAGTCCGTAATTCTCCCTGCAGTTGACAGGTTCTCCAAGTCAGGCCATTTTGTCTCTCTGGACAAACTCTCCTCTGCCTCCGAAAACACCAAGCTCTTTGTGGCTCATGTTTTCAGACTCCACAGACTCCATAAGGTCTCTGACAGAGGTCCTCAGTTCACTTCAGAGGTCTGGAAGACCTTCTGCACCTCCCTGGGAGCCAAAGTAAGCCTTAGCACCGGATACCACCGGCTATCCAATGGTCAAACCGAAAGTTGTCGACATGTTTGGACCTGGACTCTGGAAGCATTACTAAGGACCGCTGATGGACAGCGCTGCTACGGGGATCGGCTGAGAAGACCAAACCCCAAGTATGCACCAGGGCTTGCTGCCAGAGGCATTCCTCTCAAATCACGCAAGCTAGCTCCATGCTGTATTGGATCATATGAAGTCAACACCTCCATGTTTTGCTCACCTCCCATCCATTGACAGCAATCACCGAGGCAATAGCTAAGCGCAGTCATCCACTCTCCGCCAGTTTGTCAGCTACCTCATGGTGGTAACCAGGCCTCATTGCTTCGTATCTTTATGTCTATGCTCTTTACTTGCCTTGATTTCCTTGTGCCTTCAGTTTCTGACATGACACCGCGTAACTCGTGTGCAGCTCAAGTTTTGGCTACCCTCCTCAGAGCTCCATGCTCTCCTCCTGCAAATAAGACCGCAAATTCAGTGTTCACCTTTTCCCCAGTAATTGCTCTCCCCACTCAACACCTAACTTAGTTCTCCCTCTGTTTCAATGCCTTCATGTTAGACACTCACACTATGTTCTTAAATCTGTAAAGTGAAAGTAAATACAAAACTTCAAGGATGTTTCACTGATAATTATCAGAAACAGTCAAAATGCTTGAATTTGTCTTGCAAAATAGTGATACTGAAAACATGGAAAAACACAAGTCTTGTTTTAATGTTCATACACTCACTGATTCTGAATTTGTGCTCAATATATCACTGGGTGTCCTGAAACGCAGCACCCAGTTGCTACTAACCCTCTTAATTACTACGGGAACAGTAATGTGTATATTTGGTTAAATGTGGGAATCTGCTTGACAATAACAGTGAAGCTTTCATTTTTACAGACAGTACACCCGACTTATAGATAAACCGGTGGTTTTAAAACGGCTCAGAGACTAGGTAGCTCTTACTGTGGCCAACCGCTCGCACTAAACCACAGGTCATGCGGAAACGCTCTATTCAGAGATACCATCACACGTATTTCTGCAGAAACTGAAGGTGTAATGAAACTGACCTCACACAGCTCCTTATCTTTGCCTAGCCTAGATTTTATTTTTATGAAAACATCGCTAAAAATTAAAATTAAAATAAATTAAAGGATTAAAGTCAAATATTTTCTTTTTATAGAGCAGCATTCCTCACAGAAATGTGGCAAAAACAGAACCACCAGCTTCCTCTTCTCTGAGTGGACTCACTTCTCCTCCTGCTATCAGAGTCATATGCTCACGAATCCTGACACCCTGACAACACTCCCTGTGGACAGCCCTTTACCAGAGAACCCTTCTACCTTTCGATATCTAGGTGCGAGAGCCTAGCGAAAGAGAACAGAAGGACCGGAGGCTCTCACCCTCCTTGTCTCATTTCCTCTTAGACCAGAAACCAAAAACTTTAGAAGATGTCTGATGCTCTCTGTATTGTGGGTTCGTTGTTTGGTGAGTAGCGTATACTTTGGTTTTGAACATCTACAGCAATGGTAGCAAAGGAACACAGGACTACCCTCGATTCTTTTTATAACCTGAGGTTCGTTTATTCTTTTTCTCGCAGGCTCATCAGAAGGACAGCAAGGTATCTAGCTTCAACTCTTTGCTCGTGTATGATGTGTGTGTTTGGCTTTTGTATTTCAATCATATGTTGTTGGGGGTTTTTTTTGTTTTAACAGAATGTGGTTCCTGTTACCTGATAAACATGGAATCTGTAATAGGCATTATTGCCTCTGACATCATCTTGACCATCTTCATCACTATTTCTGTATTTTGCTTTGCGACTCATCAGAGGAGAAAGAGGGAATGGGAATCACACAGTGGTGAGCACTGTATTCGTGTGCCTTTCTTTACATGTGTATGTTTGCCTAGTGGTGTTATGTCAAATGGCCATTAACCTGACACTTCTAAATCTCCTATCAGGCAAAAGAAGTGTACCATCATCAATTTCAAAGAAAATGGCAACAGAGGTCACAGAATCTCCATACCAGGTGATGTATAGACTCTTTTAAAAATAAAAAATGACTAACTAAAAACACACTTGAAACAAAACAATACATATAATGTATATTATACGTATTACAATGATGCATTGATTTGACTTTTCTGTAGGAGTTACATGGAGTCCAGTCAGATGTTTACAGTGAACTTCGGCACTATAGGAAATGACTGAATAACATAAAAAGTATCAAAGTGCTGACAGTGTCCTGTTTGTAATTAGCTCCACAATGTAAAATATAAACTAAGATTTGTCACATTTACTCACAAATAATTTGTTTATTCTGCATTAATTGATTGATGTTGTATTCAGTGAGTACTGCCTGGCACTAAATGTAATTGTTGCTGCTTCACGTTCCTGTTTTAGGCTGTTTTATGATATGTATTTGTATCTAACTAATAATAAATGAAACTACATTTTAAAACCAGATTTTTGGCTCAGACAGATCCTGTCAAGTCTTCAAAAGTAATTGCATTGCTTCATTTATGATTTAATTTAAGGTTGGCTTTATTTTCATCACACTCTGACAGCTTACACCAACACACCCAGCACAGGTTAAATCAAAACATATTTATTTTTTACATTTGTTTGTTTGATCAGAGAACAAAAACGTGTGCTGAAAATCTAATTTTGGATAGAAAAAGTCCCTGCAGTATCCGGATGTGGAAGCAAACTGTCTTAAGTTGAGTCTCCTGAGTCAACAGACAGTGATCCGTGATTCATAAGGAAGACATGCAATCTGAAAATAGAGAGGAAAAATGTTAAAACTGCAATCAGAACATGTGGAACACAAGCCAGATATAGAAAACTGGTTCATCTT